AAGTATCTGAAATCAAATGTGTTCAACTTTAAACTACAAATGCCACAAAGGCCATTTGGACAATGCTGCTTAACTTTTCAGAAAACAAAAAAACAGTAAAGAAAGTTCTAAAGTCAGGCGGGGCAGACTTTATGATACCCTACACCACTTTGCTTTCCACATAACAATTAAAAGATTTTATTGGAGAATTTAATTATACACGCTATGATTATAATTGTAATTTAAAGTTTAAAAGACTAAATATGCCGAAGCATTTGTAACTTTTAAATTCGGACATGTATTGCCCATTTGGTGCAAAATTAATTTGAAATCAGAAAAAGATATATATGGGAGCTATATCCAAATCTGAACCGATCTCGATAAAATTTGGCAAAGATATTTCCGAGCTGTTATCGTTGTTACGGAGTGCATATTACTGCTGTGGGTAGCAAATACAACAAATCGGATGAACAGCATATATGGGAACTATAGCTATATCTGAACCGATCTTCACCAAATTTGGCATACTACCTTCTAGACTCAATTCGGTCGTATGTGCCAAATTCCATCTCATTTTGGCAAATATTAGACGTCTGGTGTACAATTGAAGGTAAATCGGACGAAGTTATATGTGGGAGCTATATCCAAATCTGAACCGATCTCGATAAAATTTGGCAAAGGTATTTCTGAGCCGCATTTGATAAATTTCCCCAAATATTGTTGTTACGGAGGGCATATTACGGCTGCGGAGGACAAAAATAACAAATCGGATGAACAATATATATGGGAGCTATAGCTATATCTGAACCGATTTCGATCAAATTTGGCATACTAATTTTCAGGCCTAATTTGGTTGTATGTGCAAAATTCCATACTATTTGGGCTGATATTGCACGTTTGGTGCACAATAAAAGCAAATCGGACGAAGTTATATATGGGAGCTATATCCAAATCTGAACCGATCTCGATAAAATTTAGCAAAGGTATTTCTGAGCTGCATTTAATATATTTCCCCAAATATTTTTGTTACAGGGTGCATATTACGGCTGCGGAGGACAAAAATAACAAATCGGATGAACAATATATATGGGAGCTATAGCTATATCTGAACCGATTTCGATGGAATTTGACATACTTATTTTCAGGCCTAATTTGGTTGTATGTGCAAAATTCCATGCTATTTGGGATGATATTGCACGTTTGGTGCACAATAAAAGGCAAATCGGACGAAGATATATATGGGAGCTATATCTAAATTTTGACCGATTATCTCCAATTTCAATAGGGTTCGTCCTTGGGCCAAACAAATGTTGTTTGCAAAATTTCATCTCAATCGGCTAATAAATGCGACCTGCATTTTGTTCACAAGAATACATGGACAGACGGACGGACGGACGGACAGACAGACATGCATAAATCAACTCAGAAAGTGATTCTATGCAGATCATCAAAAGGAACTATGGGTCTATCTCGTTTCCTTTTGCCTGTTACAAACAAATGCACAAAGACATAATACCCTGACCACCTTGTGGTGTAGGGTATAATTAGTAAAAATGTCTTTAAGTTGGGCGGCGGAGAACTTTTAATATCTTACTTATATCTACTCTATATAAAATTGTGTTATGTTTACATCGTTTGCCTTAAAAAAAATTCCCAAAATTTTGATACGGAATGAAAGGTGGATAGGCTGATATATCTATAAATCCCGCATTTTAAGTTTTCTACCGGTTATGAACTCAAGTGACCAAATTTAAGGTCATTCTATTGGAAACAAGTAAAACCAGCAAATCATATAGATGAGTCTAAATTTGGAGATACAGAAGGGCCTCTAAATTTTGGAGAGGTCGCAAAATATTTAGGGATTCAAATGAACCAAAAATAGAAAAAATTGGCTGATCACACAATTGAAGCCAATCGACACGCATGAGAGGAGAGTTAAGGGCAGGGAAGAATTCTAGAATTTTGGATGACCATTAGATTATATTTAGCTGTAAAATGGACCTCAACAACTAACAGCACGACGGAGTGCGTAAATATTGGGCAAATGTCCCTGGTCAAAATACGAAGGGCAATATCTGGGCAGTGCTCCGTGACATAATATCAAAAGGGAAACCTTCCAAAATTGATTTGGGCATAAGGGAGCTTCTAACATATTGTAGTGTTGTAGGGTATCACATGGTTGGCCCCGCACGACTATGGCCATTGCTTACTTCTTTAATATATAGCGGTAATAGAAATATTTTTCCACGGTGACATACAGTGAAATTTTATGAAGAATATGTTTTGTCTTTGACTTCATCCTTCAAAAGTGTTGCTTGAAGCTGATTTTTAGAATTTTATGACAAATAATTTCGTGGAATATGTTGACTTGCTACGATCCCGTTCAAAGGGAGTTTTTTTTTATAATTTTTATAAAGAAGGACCAAAAAGACCCCTTTGGCGTCTTGCTTGAGGGTCAAAATGTTCGACAGAAAAAATGTTCATGTTTTTGTCTGAAATATTGCCGAAGACACTATATACAGGGTGAGATAAAAAAAAGCAAAAAATGTCGGAAATAGAATCAAATTTTAGAATAAGTTTAGATTTGTTCGAATTGGTCACCTTTGGCACGAATTTTGGAATTCAAACGGCCAATGAAATATAAAGAAATTTTTGACTAGTTAAACTTTGCCACATATTGCAATTGTTAGTATTCGGAAATGCACTTATATAGAGAGCAAAATTATTATTTAGATATTCTAGAGAGAGAAAATACTCTACAAAACTTCTATAAAAAGAAGTATTTTTAAAGTCTTCCTACAAAGAAAAAACCGTCAGGTCTTCTGACTATGGAAGACCTGCAGTATACCTCCAATAAATTCAAGATTTTCTAAAGAGCCTTTTATAGATAAAAGACCCCTTGAAATTGGAAAACTATTTAGAATTCTAATAATTTAAGAACACCTATTAAATAGATAGAGGACCCTCTATATACCTTCCACTAATGGAGAAGCACTTGAAACCCTAGTACGCAGGGTGAGATAAAAAAAAAAAAAACTGCAACAATGTCAAACGCCATAATTTTTTAAAAATCTTATTGAATGATAGCAAAAAAATGTCGAAAATAGCATCAAATTTTAGAATAAGTTCAGATTTGTTCGAATTGGTCACCTTTGGCACGAATCATGGCCTTCAAACGGCCAATGAAATCGTCACACGCTGCCCGAATGTTGCTCTGCGGTATTTCGGCTCATTCCCGGCGAAGCACTTGCTTGAGGTGATCGACACTTTGGTATTTTTTCGGGGCCAACCTTGCTTTTCAAAATACTCCAGACACAATAGTCCAACGGATTGGTATCCGGAGATTTTGGTGGCCATTGTCAGCTGGAAATGAAGCGAGGAACCTCATTTTGTAACCCTTCTTGGATGGCGCGTGCTGAGTGCGATGGTGCTGAGTCCTGTTGGAAAGCCCAAGGTCTGCTGCCAAAATGTTTGCGTGCCCAAGACTTTAATACATCCTCCAGAAAATTTTCGCGATAATATTCGGCATTTATTCTGATGCCACGGTCGATTAATACGAGCGGAGAGCGACCATCGGCTGTTATGGCGGCCCACACCATCACCATGGCCGGCGCTTGAGTTCTGGTGGACAACCGAAGTTGCCATTCCGTTTGTAACATCCTTAAATATTCCTCGTAGACCCCATAAAGTATATATATTCATAATCAGCATAAAATTCTAAGTCGATTTAACGATGTCCGTCTGTGTGTCTGTCCGTCTATCTGTCTGTCCGTCTGTCTGTCTGTCTGTTGAAATCACGATACAGCCCACATTATTTAATGTAGAGCGCCAAAATTTAGTAGAGCACTTTGTATTGCGTCTAGAATGGTTGGTATTGAAAATGAGATATATCGGTCCACGTTCTGGTATAGTCCCCATATAACGGTACCTCCCGATATTCGGTATTTTGAAGATTTATGCCACATTTTTTCACGGATTTCTCTGAAAATTGGTAGTTGTAGATCATAATGGGTCCCAGTTCGTGTGGCGAGTCATAGTAATTATAGGTCCACGTTATGGTATAGCCCCCATATAACGGTACCTCCCGATATTCGGTAATTTGATAATTTTTACCACATTTTTTCCACGGATTTGTCTGAAAATTGGTATTTGTAGGTCATAATGGGTTCTAGCTCCTTTGGCGAAACATTGCATGTGTAGATCCACGATTTGGTATAGCCCCCATATAACGGTACCTCCCGATATTCGGCATTTTAATGGTTTTTGTCACATTTCTTCTAATGTTTACTTTACCCTAAGGTGGAGGGTATTGAAAGTTTGGTCCGACCGAACTTAATGTTTTTTTTACTTGTTTAGAGATCGTACGTTTATCCTCCAGATTTTGGAGACAAAGAGGAGCTATTAGGTTCATTATGTTGTAGATATGGGAATATTTCTTAGCGAAATCTTCATTCTAGTCAAAAAGGCTTCAGATGTGCAGAAATTTCCGCCAATTGTAGTGTTGTAGGCTGTCTAATGGTCGGCCTGTCCGACTATAGCCTTTTTCTTACTTGTTTTAATTTTGAAAAATATTAATTATCAAAAAATACGGATATAAGAAACTTAAATAGTTCGGAATTTTTTAGTCCAACATACTCAGTAACCTGAGAAAATGTAACATATTTTTCAGTGCCATGGCAACATCATGGCCATGCAACGACCTCCAGCCACTTTAAATGTATATCTCTTTGCTTGATTGTAATTGTTTTCCTCCATTCATTGCAAATCAAGATCTGGCTTTAATAGCGGTGAGAGAGCTAACATAAGTTGGGGTAAACATAATCAACAACAATTGTTTAAACATAATAATTTTCCTCATTTGATAAACTTTAACATTTATCTTGGGTTTCATTTGGAAAATAGTTTTTTTCCCAAATGAAAATATTTGTTTTTTTTTTTTTTTTTTTTGAAGAGCTACAACATTAATTACAACTTTCACTTGTTTTTTTTTTTTCTTTTTTTTTTTTTTCTTCTCCAAAAAGGTCTCCTCTACATTGCTGCCAAGAAATTTGTGGGTTGAACAACCCTAAAACCTGTGGCTGGTGTTGCGTTGTTGGCCCCAACACAACAAAATGCAGTTGCAACCAGACGACAACATCGACATCAACGCAAGAACGTGCCGTGTTTGTTAATTTGTTGAATGGAAACGCAGTGCTAGAGCAACATGTTGGATACTCAAATAAGAAGTTGCGAGGACAATGCCAAAATGGCCAATCCCATGCCAATGGAAATTTTGGCCAATGAGAAAATCGGCGAAGAAGAAGAAACAGGGAAGTTACAACAAAAAGCGAGAAAATCGAAAAATATTTTAAATTGGTTAAAAAATAGTACAACAACAACAACAACAAATTCAAATGCAACAAATTTAATTACGAACCACCCACATAATTCGCATGATAGCTTGGAGATTAATTCATGTCAACCAAGTGATCAAAGTACAGAAAATCATACAACACACCAAGAGACTGCAACGTGTTTGGCCCACACCGGCGAGCCACAACCCCAACCCCCCACATTGATTGCCACAACACACCAAAACGGCAATATCAGCAACGACGTTACATTGTTACGTGAATTTCGTGGCGTTCAGACGTTACGCCATCTGTGGAATAAACGCATCACTGCCAACAAGGAATCAGCGGCGCGGGCCAAAATTTACAAGCAGCAACAACAACAACAGCAACACAAACAAAAACAATTTACCAAATCCCAAAGTTGTTTGCTCTCTTCGGGGAGCAGGCGAGAAGACGGAGAGGGAGAGGAATCACCACAACCTCTCCACTTTGAGTTGGGCTTCCAAGCAGCGCCACCTCTTCGAGCCAAGAGTCTGCATGACTGTTCCGGGGATTTTGAGACGGATCAGGACCCCTTGGATCTAACCGTTTTGGAGCTGGAAAAACATTTGGAAAAGGATAATTTCTATAAATACAAAACTGCCGAACAGGCTACCAAGCTAAGGGAGCTAAGTGAGCAACACTCATCGGCAAGACGTTTCAGCGCCGGACTCTTGTTTAGCGAACGTTTTCAGTGGCTTAAGAAACCGGATATTTTTACAAAACGCCGGGCCTCTGAGGTGAGAAGTAATCTGGCCTCAGAAGAGCGTAGCTGCAAAGAGAATTTTTACTCTCCCTTCCAGGAGAGAAGTGGCAAAGAGAACTGTTACTCTCACGAAGGGGATTCGCTGCTGGACATTGTCATAAATGATTTTGAGCCAACAACAATGCTAGGGGATAGCATGCCAGCGGCTCGGTGCCAAAATCACACCTCCACGACCACCAGCAACAGCAACAGCACACCCATGACATCGCCACATCGCCTACGGCCAGATTCACTGCACTCCAGCGATAGCTTGGCCAGTCATAATTCATCCAGCACAACCACTGGACGCAGCAGTGGAGTGGTACGGAAAAATTCCTCCACTCGGAAATATAGCTTTAAGACCCATCAGCGTTCGTATCATGTGAGGCGTAAAATGCACAGCGGCAATCACAACAAGGAGCACCATGGCTCCTCCTCCTCCTCTTCGTCCTCCTCCACGATCAGTTTGGTGGCCCAGCTAACGCAACAGTTCAATGAGCGGATCCAACAGGACAGCAGTATACTGGAACAGGTTAAACGCAAAAATGGCATATTGATGACCCACAAGGGTCATGTCTTCAAGGTGGTGGAGGTGGACACTCATGCTCCGGTGGGTAGGACCCTATCATCGCATTCCAAACTATCGGCAAGTCTGAGTAATTCTTCGGTTTCAGCGGTCCAAAGGACCATAAAGAAATTTGAAAATGCCTCTAGGACGTCGGCGAAACCCAAAGTGCCTCAGAAAAGTTCTCGCGTTTTGGAGAAGAGCAAGGAGTTGATATATGGCAAAGTTGGAAACACCACAAAGAAAGAGAAAGAGAAGGCAGCAATGGAGGTGGTCAAGAAATCGAAACAGCCCCCAAATACGTTGGCCTTGCCGAAATCTCTGGAAATGGTAAAGGAGGAAACCAAAACCCCCCTGGAATTGGAAATGGAAATGGAGAGGAGAATGGCCGCAGAGAAAGCAGCATTGATGCAGGGGGAAAGGGGTGACCACAATTGCCAAGATGGAACCGGGCAGGGCCTTAAAGGATATGGCAATGGGGAAGGAGAAAAAGGAGATTCTCGTGATAAAGCAGAGAGGGAGTTGCTGGATTCTCCTAGAGGAAGAAGCAAGGATATCAAGCTAGAGAACGGGGAAACCAGAAATTCCCCTGAAAGGGAAGACAAGGATCTCAGGAAATGTCAAGAGCAGAGGGACACAACCGATTGCCAGGGACAGGGGGATTCGAAGGAAAATCTTGAAATTAGGGGACAACCAATGTCTTCGGAGCCTGGGATCGCTGGAAACCGAAATGAAAATAAATCCTTCAAAATTAGTCCTTTGAAAGGATGGACAAAATCCGAAAATCACACAACTTCCCAAGAATCCCCCTCTCGGGAAAATGTAGAATCCACTGAAATACCCATGAAATTGGGATCCCAAAACTCGGAGCTTTATAGCAAAGTAAGACACAAATCGTCATTTGTCAAGGACTCCTCAGAATCGAAGATGTTTTCCGAAACAGAAATTCACCAAAACCGCCCAACTTCCCCAGAATCCCCAAGGGAGGATAATGAATATTCGCACAGGATATTGGAATTCAAAAACTCAGAGCTTTATGGCAAATCGTACTTTGCCAAGGATACCCTACAAACTCAAGACGCAAAGGCACCCCAGGTCTCTGGTTGTGAAAATTCCCAACATTCTGGCCAAAAAGAATCCAAAAATGATCAAAATCTCCCCACTCCTCCAGAATCTCCCAGCGAAGATAATGGAAAATCCCCTCCCATACCGAAAAATTTGGAATTCCAAAATTCGAGTCTATATCGGGCAGTAGGGAAGCAATTATGCTTCAGCAAGGATGCTGAAGTGGCTCAGGAGCAAAGGACATCTCCGACACGACAAGACGATACAAACGAATTGTCTGAAGAGTCTCCATTAAAAGAAAATCCCAAAAATTCTACAAATACAGATTCTGAAAGCGATCCTAACAACTCCCCTAAACCTGCCACCATTCACATGAATCAAGAATTCACCCCCCAAATATCCAAAAAATTGGAATTCCAAACCTCGGAACTGTATCCCAAAGTGCGCCGTCAAAGTTCCTTTGCCAAGGAGGAGAAGCAACGGGACATTATCATTTACATTAAACAGGATTTCAACAAGGCACCGCCTGACACGGAGACCTCCGCCCTCCCAGAGGATTCGAAAACCAAAGAGAAAATCTCAAAGAAAATGGAAAATCCGAAAAATGAAAATGAAAAAAAGACCAAAGTCACACGTCGGCCCACCACATTCTATCAGGATGCCCATATTAGCAAGAAACCCCTACAGGATAACAGACGAGACATCCTAATTTACATAAAGCCAGGCGAACAAAATTCCGACGAACTGGCGAAGCAAACAGCACTGGGTCGTAATGCTAGTTTCAATTCGACCGAGCCCAAGAGGCTTATAAAACGAGCAAATCTTTCTAAAGAGGAATTTGAATTGGCCCAGGAGGTAAAGGAAAAATTGAGCAATCTACCCAGATTTGCGAACAATAAGTCAATAGAGGAGGCCACTCCCGGTGGGGGCAAAACTGCAGAAAATTCGGTGCAACAAAGGAAATTGAAAACTTCCCAGTCGGTGTTTTATGAAACCCTCACGACGCCGGGGCCCAAGAGCCCAATTGCAGAGCAGCCGGAAGAAGGCAAAAAATCCAAGCACAAACATTCAACATTTTATGAAAAACTGAAAATTTTCACCAGAAAAGCAAACCACAACAAAACCAACTCCACTCCCACCTCCCCAAAAGCAGAAGAGGAAACCAAAACCTTAGATTCTGGCACTGCCAACGAACAACCCCAACCCCAAAGCCCCACGGCCTTGAATTACACACCCATGAGTTCACCAAGGCCCAAACAAAAAATGATCACCCAGGTGGTGGAGGAGGTGACCTATTCGCAAATGTATGTCCCTCAATCATCGGGCCTGCTGGATGCCCTACAACAAGTTGAGGAAAAAATTTGCAGCCTAAGTAAAACCGAAGGACAGACTAAAGAACAGCAAGAAGGGGAAACTCTAAGCGAACCCCCTACGGGAAGCGATGATTTTGGCCAACCCCTCAAACCGAACACCTCTTTTCTCCATCAAACCTACAGCAAGGTGTTGACCAAGCCCGGAGGTCAAATTATTCAGGCCGTCAATGTTTCACTAGTCAATGCCATTGAGGGCGAACAGATGGAGCTAATGGAACAAAAGGAGATACAGCAAAGTCAAATGGCAGAAAAGGATGAAAATTCTCCACCAGAGGAAAAACTGTCTTCCCCAGAACCGCTCTATGAGCCCATAGAGGCCTCAACACCCACACCACGGCACCAGGAAGAGGATATCTACCAAACTGTGGAGGAGTTACAAAAAGAAATTGAAAACTATACTGAAACCTCTAAAACCACCTCCTCCCACCTGGAAACCCTATCCAAACCCCTTCCACCAGATGCCGAGGAAATCTATCAAACTGTCGAGGAGCTACAAAGGGAAGTAGAAACCACAAATGAAACAATTGGCGCCCAAACACCTGCCAAGGAAACAAATGCCAAACCTGAACTTTTGGATGACTATGAAGTCATTGGAGATCCTAATTTAATAACCACCCCCACAGAAACTCCCCCTAAAATCCCGGCCGATTTTGATGGTTATGAGGAATATGCCCCCTCAGTAGAACCAACAGCGGCCACAACTTGCAATACCATGAGGAAGACAACAGATGAATTGCCTGACCTACCAGAGCCAAAGAGAAAAATAAATAAACCAGCACCAAACCTCCCCTTGCAGCCACACATTTGCACAAAACTGCCACCCATACCCACGGAGATCTATGCCCCCAGCAGCAACAACAATATTACTCTGGCCGATGACTCTCATCACTATTATGCCGATGAGGAAGAGAATATCTACGACACCATTAAGGGTTCCGATTGTTATGAGTCCATACAACCCCATAACAACAACAACAACAACGCCGCCCCCTGCAACAACCTCACAAAATCCTCCTCCAATTCCTCGACAACCAAAAATTCCGACACTCAATCCATATCGAATTGTTATGAGAGCATCTCACATTTCAAACCCCCACGGCCCATTAGCATCAGCCAACACAGTGGCAGCAGTCGTGGTTCGACCCTAACCATTTCATCGGAACACAAGACGAATAGTCTCTATGAAGATGGTTCCATTGGTATCATAGGCATGACTTCGTCTTCTTCGTCGTCGTTGCGCTACAGTTCCCAGCGCCTATATCGTTCCCAGCATCACAGGGAAGAAGATGGTGGTGGGGCGACGGGGGCCAATGATAGTGCAGGCAGCAGTAATTACAACTCATCGATGGGTCGAGCCAGTGATGTCAGCGAAGAGTGGATGGATATCAGCGATAATGAGGAGAACGATGAGACGAATTGGAAGCCCAAACCGAAGTATCAAATGTGAGTAGACGTTGTGACATATATTTTTAGCTCTCTCTCTCTCTCTCTATCTCTCTCTCTCTTGATCGAACGATATTCAAAATGAAATGAAAATATTTGAAATTTAAATTTAAAATTTTTTGGCTCAGAAATTTGGGGAATAACATCCGACTTATTCTTTATTGTTAGAAAGTCCTTAAAAACGCTCTTAAAAATAAACAATTCATTTCCAATCCTTAGGCCTGGAAACCCGCCAGGATATGTTAAAAATAATGGAAAAGATTCACAATGTTTGATTGGCAGGTCCGTGGGAAGCTATTTTATTAAGTATTTACCATCTTTGGTCCGGAGGTCCTTGGAAATCACTTCTACAAAAACATCACAATAGTTAGACAAAAGTCCTTGTATAACTAAATTATTTGAAAAAAAAATATCCCCTAAAATTCCGTGAAGAGAAAAAATCTTTTTTTTGTTTCCGAAGTACTTTAGAGCCCAAGGGAAATTATTCTGCAAAAAAATCCCAAATTATTCTACAAAAAAAATTCGCCTATTTAAAAAAAACCAAAATTATTGGGTCGGAGGTTCTTGGAGGACCTTGGTAAAATATGCATAAAAAACCATTAATTATTCAATTCCGTAGACAAAACTTTTTTCACTATCCAAAGAAATGTTTCCTACCAAAAAAAAAACAAACATTAAGTTCGGCTGGGCCCAACTTTTAATACCCTCCACCTTAGGGTAAAGGAAACCCACATATGGCCCACATATACCAATTTTTAGACATATTCATGGGAAAATGTGTCAAAAATAATCAAAATACCGAATATCGGGAAATACGGCTATATGGGGCCATACAAAAACGTGGACCTATACATACAGTGTTTCTCCAAAAGAGCTAAAACCCACTAAGACCAATAAATACCAATTTCTTGATTAATTTCGGGAATAAATGTGGCAAAAACCATTAAAATGCCGAATATCGGGAGGTACGGTTATATGGGGGCTATACCAAATCGTGGACCTATGCATGCAATGTTTCGCCAAAGGAGCTAGAACCCATTATGACCTACAAATACCAATTTTCAGCCAAATCCGTGAAAAAATGTGGCAAAAATAGTCAAAATACCGAATATCGGGAGGTACCGTTATATGCGGTCTATACCAAAACGTGGACCTTAAATTACAATGAGTCGCCACACGAACTGGGACCCATTATGACCTACAACTACCAATTGTCAGAGAAAATCGTGAAAAAATGTGGCAAAAATCGTCAAAATACCGAATATCGGGAGGTACCTTTATATGGGGACTATACCAAAACGTGGACCTATACATACAATGTTTCACCACACGAACTAGGACCCATTATGACCTACAAATACCAATTTTTAGACAAATCCTTGAAAAAATGTGGCAAAAATAATCAAAATACCGAATATCGGGAGGTACCTTTATATGGGGGCTATACCAAAGCGTGAACCTATACATGCAATGTCTCGCCACACGAACTGGGACCCCTTATGACCTACAAATAACAATTTTCAGACAAATCCGTGAAAAAATGTGACATTAATCATCAAAATACCGAATATCGGGAGGTGGCGTTATATGGGGACTATACCAGAACGTAGACCGATATATCTCATTTTCAATACCAACCATCCTAGACACAATACAAATTATTCTGCTAAATTTTGACGCTCTACGTCAAATAATGTGGCCTGTATCGTGATTTCAACAGACAGACGGACGGACAGACAGACAGACAGACGGACATCGTTAAATCGGCTTAGAATTTTATGCTGATTATGAATATATATACTTTATGGGGACGAATATTTAAGGATGTTACAAACGGAATAACAAAGTTAATATACCCTCCTTTCCAAGGTGGAGGGTATAAAAACACAATACTTGGTATACAGATCCTTGATCTAGTAATTATTCTATTCCAAACATTTTTTAACTCTTTGTTGTTCTACAAATATTAAAACCCTCCAAAGCATTTTTTTACTCTCAGCAAATGGCGCCCAAGGGGTAATATTTTCTGAACATAAATGTCATATCCTTTCTGGTGTGCTAAAAACATTTCGAAAACACAAATTAATTTTCTTTCGCAAAGAAAAAAATTCTAATTTTTGATCCGAAGGTTCTTGGAAAACTATTCTACAAAAAAAAAATTCACAATTGTTGGTCCAGAGGTCCTTGAAAAATATACTTAAAAATTCCAATAATATTTAGATTCCGTAAAAAAACCGTATTTTACTACTTGTTATTAAACTCTAAAAAATGATTTTTTCCCTGTCTGCAAATGGCGCCCAAGTAGAATTTTTTCACACAATTATCATGTCCATTTTTAGACATTTCGAAAATGCACATTAATTTCCTTGCTATTATTCCCCACCAATGGTATAGAAAAATCTACTCAATTCTGGCCATCAGCTTCTTGGAAAATTGTTCTACAACAATTTTTTGGTAGTCCACAGGTTCTTAGAAAACTATAAACATCATTTTTATGTGGAGCACCATTAAAAAAGAAACCATTTTGGTCCAAAGGTCCGTGGGAAAAATTCTTTAAAAATTCTCCAGGCGTCTTAAGAAAGCTATTCTTTAAAGAATTCGCGTTTTTTTCCATAGGTCCTAGGGTAAAATATCCCTGGTCCTAGGAATCTATCTTAAAAATATGCAAATTTTTAGGGTGGAAGGTCTTTGGAAGACTATCCTTAACACATCCCCCGATTTTTGATACCAAAGTGTTTGGAAAACTATTCTGAAAAATGGAGAATTTTTAAACCCCATTCTTTGGTACACAATTCCAAAAAACTTGCACTTTTTTTTTGTCTGGACGCCCATAGGAACATTTTCTAGGCCCTTGAAAACTTTTCTTAAAAAATCGCACGTTGGAAAAAATTCTTAAGAAATCCTTTATTTGTTCTACCATTGTTCTTCTTTTGTTCTTGTTTTTAAATATTTTTAAAAATCCAGAATTTTTGTAAATCCACGATGGCTACACCGATGGTTACTATTTTTTAATTGAAGGTCTTAGAAAGAGTATTCCTAAAAGATCCACGATTTCGGATCCGAAAATCAAAATTTATTGAGCCATGGATCACGATTTTTTGGACCCGAGACCCACTGAGAACTTTTATACAAATAAATCACAATTTCTAGATCAGGAGGTCCATAAAAAAAACTATTTTTAACAAATCCAGAATTTTTGATCCAGAGGTCCTTGGAAACTCATTTTTGAAAATATGCACAATTTTTAGGCCAGAGGTACAGGGGACAAATCCTTAAAAAATCCTCTAATTTTTGTCTAGATCTCATTGGGAAACTGTTCATAATATAATCCAACATTATTGGCCTGGCCGTGGGTCCTGGGGAAAATATCATTCGCCCTTAGAAAATATCTACAAAATATCCACGGTTTTTGGATCGAAAGTCTTTTGAAGATTTCCCTTAAAAATTCACGACTTCCGACCAGTATATCCTTGGAAAACTATTTTTTTTTAAATCGATCATTTTTGAATAAGGATTCTTAAAAGACTGTTCCTAAAAAAAATGCTCAATTTTGGTCCGGAAGCCCATAGGAAACTTTTTTAGAAATGGTTCACGATTTTCGGACCGAGGATTCTTGAAAACTATTCTTAAAAAATCCCATGATTTTTAGTCTTAAGGTCCGTGTGAAAAATCCTTAAGAAATGCTGTGAATCCCTTAGGTCCGGGGAAAAATATCTTTAGCCCTTGAAAGCGGTATTAACAACATCCACAATTTTTGGGACGAAGTTCTTTGAAAGATTATCTTTAAAAAATCCAAAATTTCTGATGTGGACGTCCTCGGAAAAATAGTCGTAAAAAAATCAAAAAAAATTGAGCCATGATCCACGTTCTTTGTCGAATGTCTATACAAAACTACTCTAGAAAAATAGTCCATGATTTTTAACCCGAGAGCTCTTAGGAGACTATTCTTAGAATAGTTCACGATTTTTGATCAGAAGGTCCTTAAAAAATTATTGTTAAAAAATTAAGCATTTTTAATTCGGAGGAAAACCGTTTTTTGAAAGATCCACAATTTTTGGGCCAGACTTCTTACGTTTGTCCAGATCACATTGCGAAACTATTCTTAAAATAATATAATTATTTTGGCCCATAGGTCCTGGGAAAAATAAGTCCTCGTCCTCGGAAACTATCTTAAAAAAATTCCTAATATTTCGACCGAAGTTCTTTGGGAGACTATCCTTAAAATTGTCAGCGATTTCTGATCCGAAGGTACTCGGAACACTATTTAAAAAAAATAAAACTTTGGAACCAATTTTCTTGGTAGAGTATTACTAAAAATATATTGCTACGAAAGCCCATAGCCCATTTTTTTTAAAAATATTCCACGATTTTTATTCCGTGCCTGCCTAAAAAACTATAGTAATCAAGTTTATTTCAACGGAACGAAAAATGTTGATAATTTCGAAGATTCTTAAAAAAAAACTCTTTTTAAAAACGCAATTTTTGGTCCTGAGGTTCTTAGCAAATTATTTATAAAAAATCCACGATATTTTATCCCCAGAAATTTTTCTAAAAATTAGTTCGGGTTCCTTAAAAAGAAATCCAAAATTTTTTGAAACGAAGATCTTTCGAAGACAATCCTCGTAAAATCCACAATTTCCGATCCGGATGCCCTTCGAAAACAATTCGTAAAAAACAAACAATTTTAAACTGGGGTCCTTGGTAGATGATTCTCAAAAATTTCCATGATTTTTAGTCCGAAGGTCCATAGAAAACTCTTCCAAAAAGGCGACAATTTTTGGCCCGAGGATCCTTGGAAAACTAAGAAAAAACTACAATTTTTGAAACATGGATACTTTTGAAAATGTTCCTAATTTCTTTGGTGCTTAGAAAGCTCTTCTTCTTTTGCAACGGAGGTCATTGGAAAAGCATTAAAAAAAATTCACCCTATTTGGTCTGGTATCCATAGAAAACTTTTCTAAAGGTACATAATTTGGTGCGGGGACCTTAGAAAACGACTTTTTTTGTCTTGAGGTTTATGTATAGCTGCAGAATATTTGTAAAAAAAAAAGTTGGCCATTCCTTTCCAGGAAATTCTTGACAAATTCTTTAAAGAAATCGACGATTCTTGGCCAGGAAATTTATGAAAATTATTAAAAAAAAAGGTCTCAATTTTCGCGGGTCTTTAAAAAAAATTCCATTCAGGAAGTTCTCAAAACAAAATTCCTAAAAATACTTGCACGTTTTATAAAATTATTAAAATTGGAGATCCGTATATCATGGATATGCCCATGTGTGTCTCTGCGTGAAAGAAATGACCAATTGTTTTCTTTCGAAAGAAAGGGCCAATTGTTTTCCAGTTTGTGCCAAACTCAAATTTCCTAAAAATTAATATGATGTTCGAAATTTAGAGTAGTGTGGATACTTCCTTTGTCTGATGTGAGATTCAGGATTTCTCAAAATGTTGTCTTTTTGTAGAGGAGGTACCAGAAGGGGCAAGCCTATGTTTCCATTTATCACAATTTATCCCATGTCGATATAAATTGACAGAAATATTCGATAATCAAAGTTTGAATAAAATCGATGTGCCACAATCTCTGTAGCCATGAGGCAAAGAATGATATCTTATGTGTCGTATACGTGATGACAATACGTATACGCAATATTGAACGGAAGTTTTGTATTAAATTAATCCAGATAAATTCCAATCTAATTGTATAATTACGATTATTTATTATATTCGAATTGAATGGGCTTATCTAGCATCTAACAGGTCTTATATGCTAGCAAAACTTCTGTAAATCTTCCGTATGTCTGATTTGTAAGATTTTCCAAATATTGATTCTCTCAAAAATTTAAAATTTAAAATAAATTCAAACTTTGATTATCGAATATTTCTGTCAATTTATATCGACATGGGATAAATTGTGATAAAAAAAACTTGTTGTTTGCAAACGATTTTCGTAGATATTCCAATTCCATATATTACCTCTGAAACTCTTCGATCCCATCAACTAAATATTTCCCATTCTTCGCTGTTCTACAAATGTCAAAACTATCCAACCCATTTGTTTGTGTGCAAATGGCGCCCAAGGGACAATATTTTGTTTTATTCATATATGTCATGTCCTTTCTAGCGTGCCAAAAAAAAAAAAAAACATGCTCAAAAATGCAAATTAATTTCCGTGCTCCATTTGCTGGGCATAACCTTGAAAATGTGTTTGAGCTGAGTAAACAAACCTTCAACCCCAAATACAGGTTGCCAACAAAAAGAAATAAAAACTACTAATTCATGGGTAACCGAATAATCGATTATTACTAATCTAAACATGTTAAAGAGCAGTAAGTTCGGCCGGGCCAAACTTTAAATACCCTCCACCATTTAGAACGAATTTGGAAATTTTCAAAAAATAAAATCCTTAAAAAATTCTGTTAAAATTTTAAAAATAAAATAAAATATATTGGGGCCTATACGACGTGGACCAACATAGGCATTGTTTGTCATAAGTCATTACCATTTTCAAATTCGAAACTTGAAATAAACGGTGAATAATGTAGCTAAAATCATCAAAATATATAGGTATATAAGGAGGTGCCGTTATATCGGAGCTGTGCGAAGACCTGGGACCAGCATAGACAATTTTCTGTCACAGGCTGTAGTTTCCATTACGAACATTAAATACGTCATCTCAAACAATTTCGATTTGTATTGTACCTAAACTCGTCAAAATACCAAATATAGGGAGGTATTGATATATTGGGGCCTATACGAAGACCTGGACCTGCATAGACAATTTTCTGTCACAGACTGTAGTTTCCATTACGAACTTTAAATACGTAATTTGAAACAATTCCGGTGAATAATGACGCTAAAATCAGCAATATACCGAATATAGAGAGGTACTGATATATGGGGTCCTATACGAAGACCTGGACCTGCATAGACAATTTTCTGTCACAGACTGTAGTTTCCATTACGAACTTTAAATACGTAATTTGAAACAATTCCGGTGAATAATGTCGCTAAAATCATAAAAATACCGAATATCGGGAGGTAGCGTTATATGGGGGCTAAACGAAGACGTGAACCTGCACAGACAATTTTCTGTCTTAGGCTGTAGTATCCATTACGAACTTTAAATACAAAGTTTGAAACAATTCCAGTGAATAATGTCGCTAAAATCAGCAAAATACCAAATATAGGGAGGTACTGATATATGGGGGCCTATACGAAGACGTAAGCCTGCACATATAATTTTCTGTCTTAGGATGTAGCATCCATTACGAACTCCAAAAACCAAATTTGAAACAATTCCGGTGAATAATGTCGCTAAAATCATCAAAATACCGAATATCGGGAGATAGCGTTATATGGGGGCTATATGAAAACGTGGATCTGCATAGACAATTTTTTTTTCTTAGGCTGTAGTATCCATTTCGAACTTCAAATATTAATTTTGAAACAATTCCGGTGAATAATGTCGCTAAAATCAACAAAATACCGAATATCGGGAGGTACCGTTATATGGGGGCTATACGAAAACGTAGACATGCATAGACAATTTTCTGTCTTAGGCTGTAGTATCCATTTCGAACTTCAAATACCAAATTTGAAACAATTCCGGTGAAAAATGACGCTTAAATCATCAAAATACCGAATATCAGGAGGTACCGTTATATGGGGGCTATACGAAGACGTGAACCTGCACAGACAATTTTCTGTCTTAGGCTGTAGCATCCATTTCGAACTTCAAATACCAAATTTGAAACAATTCCGGTGAATAATGTCGCTAAAATCATCAAAATACCGAATATCGGGAGGTACCGTTATATGGGGGCTATATGAAAACGTGGACCTGCCTAGACAATTTTTTGTCTTAGGCTGTAGAATCCATTTGGAACTTCAACCACCAAATTATCGGATTATCCTTTCTCTTTCTGTGCAAAAAATATATTTTTTTAACATTTCGACCTTTTGTGGGGGAGGTACCAGAAGGAGTGGACCGATATTGTTCATCTTAACACCAGACCTTGGCTTAATATAAATATTGGGATGTGTGAAATTTGAAGACAATCGGACTCTTACATCACATTTTATGAGAGTTGTAATTTTTCAAAATTTTGACCATTTGTGGGGGAGGTACTTGATGGAGTGGACCGATATTGTCCATTTTCAGACCTGACCTAGCACTGACGCAAATATTAGGATTTGCAAGTTGGAGCAAATTCGGATTATCCTTTCTCTTTCTGTGCAAAAAATATATTTTTCGAAAATTTCCACCTCTTGTGGGGGAGGTACCAAAAGGAGTGGACCGATATTGCCCATCTCCGAACTCGATCTAAGTTTGACAAAAAATGTTACGATGTAGCCAATTTGGACCAATTTTGGCCGTATCAAATGATATATACCCTCTGTAGCCATATGGCTGAGGGTATAAAAATACAAAATAAATAGATTTTTTTTTCCGGAAGAAGTCAAACACACGATGCTACAATAAAAACAACAACATAAAAACAATAATTTTTTTTTCTTTTTTTTTTCAACAAAACTCAACACTTTCGCAATGTAAAAAGTTTTACGTCTTTATCTATTTGTTTACATTTCACAATGGTTATCGGTTACTTATCTTTGGAAAGGGGGAACAAAGTTGTTATCGATCCATTTGTTTAGACTTCACCGAACCATTCGCACATACAGGCATTCATATATAGCCCAGTAACCCAGAACTGTTTTATTTATTTAGTTGCTGTTGTTGTTGTTTTTATTGCTGATAACTAATCATTGTGTTGTTGTACAAAAACAATAAAACAACAACACAAGCGAAAGAGTTAAAAAATGCAACAACCAAACGAAACGAAACAATCCAACGACGACCACCCAACCAACCAACGATACGAACCCCCCAACACTTGGCCTAATCAGCCAGCCAGCCAGCCAGGCAGTCATTCAGTCTGTTTGTCATATCGCATGGCATCGTAGTTCTAGTTGAGATTTTGTAATGAAATGTTCGAGCATTGTTGTAGTGAGCTATGCTCCCATTGCCATCGCCAACACTCCAAGCGAAAATGGTTCGGTTATTATGGAAACGGCCTATTTGGAAACGCATTTTGAATATCGGTATTTGGGAGTTTGAGATATTCGGATTAGCATTTATGTTCTGTAATATTTTAATTTTCGCTTTTAAATTCCAGTGTCTGCGAGAAGGCCCACAAAAGTCCCAGCTGGTCAAGGCGTGTGCGCGAGAAACGTCTGCATCATCAACGCAAATCGAGGAGTTACATCGAAGATGGTGAGTCTCAGATTTATGTTTGTTTAATTAATTAATTTTTTTTAATAATTATAACAATATGTTTGTCGTGCTACATTGTGATTTATATATGTATATATAATCGTATCAAACGATGGAAGAAAAAAAATTTCGAAAAAGTGTTAGCATAAATTTCCTATGTGATCCAAACTTAAAACATCTTAATATTTGTACTTAGAACGAGTAGAAGATGTGTCCTCTACAGATACCTCTCCTCACAAAAGGTTTTTATAGAACAAATTTCCGAAAATCTCAGTTTATCAGACCACGAAAGGTTATTCTCAGATTTTGTAGTACCCTTAAGGAATTCTTTCCCCATTGGGATATAAGAGTTTGTTTTTAAAATGTTCCTGCCGATCATAATATTAATTGTTTCTCCATTAAAGGGTGAGATAAAAAAAAAACTGCAACAAAGTCAAACGCCATAATTTTTATTTTTTTAAATTTTATTGAATGAAAGCAAAAAATAGCGGAAATAGCATCAAATTTTAGAATTAGTTTAGATTTGTTCGAATTGGTCACCTTTGGCACGAATTATAACCTTCTAATGGCCAATGAAACCGTCACACGCTGCCCAAATGTTGCTCTGCGGTATTTTGGCCCGTTCCCGGCGAAGCGCTTGCTTGAAGTGATCGACACTTTGGTATTTTATAGTGCCAACCTTGCTTTCCAAAATACTCCCGACACAATAGTCCAACGGATTGGTATCCGAAGATTTTGGTGGCCATTGTGCGCTGGAAATGAAGCGAGGAACCTCATTTTGTAACCACTCTCGGGTGGCGCGTGCTGAGTGCGATGGTGCTGAGTCCTGTTGGAATATCCAAGGTCTGCGGCCAAAATTATTGCCTGCCCAAGGCTTTAATACACCCTCCAGAAAAATTTCGCGATAATATTCGGCATTTATTCTGATGCCACGGTCGATTAATACGAGCGAAGAGCGACCATCGACTATTTTGGCGGCCCACATCATTACTATGGCCGGCGCTTGAGTTTTGGTGGCCAACCTAAGGTGCACACTTTCAGCTGACCTCCTTGACAAGTAAACATGATCATTTTGTTTGTATACAAACTGCTGGATAACGAATGTTTTCTCATCGGAGATGGAGAAAACCAAATTCGACAGTTCGCCACTTTCGGCCAAGCTCTTTTGAGTCAATTGTCTTTCTGTTGCGGTGTAAGTTCTTGCACTTTTTGGAATTTCAATGTCTTTACCCCGAGCTCATTTTTCAATATTTGCCAAATGGAATATTGCGATATGTTCAGCTCACGAGCCATTTTTCGGCCACTGCGATGCGCGTTTACTTTTCGAATCATTTCTGCTGATGTTGCTGTTTCTTCCGTCCACTTCCTTGACGTCGGGCTACGCTACGCCAGTATAACGATAACGAGCGATGGTACGAAACACAAAAGATTTATTTACATTTAACTGCTGGAGTCCTCCCTGAGCTCATTTTTCAATATTTGCCAAATGATATATTGCGATATGTTCAGCTCACGAGCCATTTTTCGGCAACTGCGACGCGGATTTCAATCAAGTCGCTTCTTTATTTTTCGAACCATTTCTGCTGATGTTGCTGTTTTCTTCCGTTCACTTCTTTGACGTCGAGACACAAAAGATTCATTCACATTTAAATGATGGAGTCCTCTAACGATAGCCACTTGTAGTTTTCCAGCCAAATATAAAGAATTCAAACTATCGCGCTTGAATTCCATCACGAACAACTTATTTTCTGGAAAATTCTCACCTAAATGCTTTTATAGGCTTGTAAAAAACATAATGAGCTGTCACTGGAATAATTTTAACAACTGCCGGACGTGTGACTCAGAAATGACAGCAGTCTGAAGTTGGTTGCAGTTTTTTCATCTCACCCTGTATACCCTCTCTAGCCATTTGGTTGAGGGTATAAAAATCGCAATATTTTAACTCTAATACACCATTCAGCCAATCAAAAAATGCAATTTAGAACCTTTTTGTACTTTTTGTATAATTTTGCTATAAGTGAGAATCTCCAAAAATGTCATCTCATCTAGTCCCCATTCACCATTCAAAAAGTTCTAGCTATTGTAAATAGCTCAATATCAAGACATAGGGATTTTGTACGTTTTCATAACTTCCGTACCCTTAAAGGACTCAAGTCAAAATTGCAGCTCTTGCTGATCGATCAATACCAATGTTGTAACGTTTTGTGGCTTTTAATACTTTTTATACCCTTAAAGTACTTTTTGAATCCTTAATATATCTTCATACAAAAATTCGACGATATATGCAAGAGTAGTGCCAAAAAAATCGATCGATCTGAGTATGTTTTAGTATTTTTCGTACACCGTAAGAATAAATTTTCATTTTTGTTTCGTACCCTTAATGTACGACTTTTCTAATGACCCTCTATAAGACTGGTAATCCTGTAAACTTTCAAAATTCTAACTAATATTATTCGTTCAATAGTCATGCTGTATTCTTTTGCACATTTTAGTGCCTTTCGTACCTCTAAAGTACGATTTTGAAATTCCATTGTTTTTCACCCCTTGGGAAAAAAAATCAAACCTCTAGCTCTCTTCGATTTCATCTTCGTAACAATGGTTTACCATTTTATACTTGTTAGTACTTTTCGTACCCTTAAGGGACTTTTCCCATCCTTAAAATACTTTCGCATGAAAATTCGATTATATCAGCTATCTTTACCGAAAGACACAAGAAAAATTTCAAAGTTCTAGGTCTTATCGATCGCTCAAAAAAACGTACCTTTTAGAACTTTTCGTACCTTAAAGAAAAAAAAATTAAAAATCGTGTTTTATCCCACATGAATAGTGATTCGGTAAAAAAGTTCCAAATTTTAGCTTCAATTAATCGTTCAATAACAATTTCGTATCATATTGTGCTTTATAACAATTTTCGTACGACTTGTCTAGGGCTCTCCCCTTCCAGACTGACCTTCTTGCCAATTTTTAATATTCATACTCCATTCGGTCTTTCAATAACCTCGCTATACTCTTTTCTTACTTTTTCGTACCCGAAAAGTACGAATTTTCAAATTCTGTAGTGTTTTACCCTATTATACATGGTGTGTAATCATGTCGTACAGTTTTGTACCCCTGAGTACTTAATGTATCTCCGTACGCTATATCAGATCCCTTTATAGAAAAAGTGGCCCCAAGTAAAATTTCGATCGAGTAAGGGAAAAGTGTACCATTTAGAACTTTTTGTACTCTTATAGAACAAATTTCGCACAATCTTGGCTTATCGGATCACGATAAGAAGTTTTAGTACCCTTATGGACCCATGAAAAGATTTTGAGACCTTATATTCTATCCCTATTGGGATATGAGTGTTTGTTTTTAAAACGTTCCTGCCGATGATATTTTAATTGTTTATCCATTACAATTAACAAAAACAACAATATCATGACAATCTACTAAAAATCATTAATATAACACACACACACACACCAATTTTTGTTGCACGCCAAAAAAAACCCCGTTGCTACCACCAAGTCTCTGTGACTAAAGTGAATCTCAGTGTTTAAATTAATATCAATGGATATTAATAACCATAACTTTTTGAAAATACCAAATTTCAGATGCAATTTACTGTGAAGTGGAATAAATTCTTAACTAAAATTTTTCAAAATTCTTAGTTCTAAGTCAATGTAAGTACTTGGAAGTAAGCAACAATTATTTGTATTTATTAAGCAAATATTTAATATTAATAATTTTATTTTAGCACTAAAGCATGAATTAGAGCTCATTATGGCAAATATAATTTTAGCAAAACTTAATTAATTTTTAACCTCTAAAAAGCCTTGAAATCAACAAAACATAGACTTACAATTCTATTTAAATTATCTTCTTCTTTTCTGTACAATCGATTTTTGAAATTTTTTAATGGTGCATCATAGACACAGGCTCATTAAAGTGGTTCCCGTATAGCTCCATTGGCCCATCAATCTATGTTTTAGTAACCACCACCAAGAAATATAAATCCAATGTAAACATTGCAATAGACCATTTTTCTTAAAATCTAAAGTATACTCTTAGGCGCAGTAAAACTACACCCAACAGCCTAACCATTTAGTAAGGTTGAATTGACTATTCAAAGCAAAAAATGCTGACATTTATACATACTTCCAAACATCTTGGGTTTCTACTAGAAGAATGAATGTCGGATTCAGGAACTATACAAATATAAAAAATAAATTGTAAAAAAATTAAATTAATTAGTTTTCAAAGTCGAGTAGTGACTTCACGACAAATGATTGAGAATAGAGTTTGTGAGCGACATCTGTTGGGCAACAGAAATAAAAAAATTATTGATTGACAATGTGTTTACTCTAAAGAAAATCCACCACAGTCTCTAAGCCTTGTTGAAGCTCAACTCTAAAGCAAACCCACCACCATCTCGGCCATCCGAAAAAAGAGATGATACTCATCTCACCTTATTTAGCAAATGCACAACCATTTCCCCCACAATACAGTGTTGAATTAACTACACCAATGTGGAGGATAGGGGTGAAGAGTGGATGTGGGGAGCAATTGATCAACGCTAAATATGTATAGGAGCATACCAGAGATGGAAAATCGAGTGTATCGAGGTACATTTTCAAAAATGGTGACATTTTGTAAAAAATTATATTTTCACATCGATTTATTTAGGAAGTGTCCCATAAATGATTAATTGTCAATTACACTATACGACAAAATTTTTAATAATTATAAAGAAAATCCAGCAGCAGCAAATTAATCTGAATAGAGGGAGAACGTTTCCGACTCTTTCACATTTTTTTGGAATTTTCGGATCGAGATTCCTTGGAATTTTTTGAGTTTAGGTGTATAGTATCTTTGACAATCTTGTTGGTAGAAAACGTCAAACCTCACGCGGGTCAGGACTTCGTTTTTTTTTTTTTTTTTTTTTTTTTGAAATCATAGCAGTTTTTAAAACCTTTAAACTAGATCGTGGAAAATCACAATATTCTAAAAAAATATTT